TCTTTTTTTGCAATCCTCCTGAGTAGCTAGAATTACAGACATGAGCCACCAGCACCCAGCTCGCAATTGGAATCTTTTAGGGCCCAATTCTGAGGCATCTTAATGTTAGGTTTGGCCATGTATTATTTTTTTAATCCCTCCTTTTTAAAGTTTTACACATTTTAAAGTAGTAGTACCCTTAGCACAGTAAGCAGAGCTCATAAAATCCTAAAGGAGAACTGCCAGGACTGCATTTTCTCCTGTGCTGTCTGTTTGTGCCTAGAGAAGAAAAAAGAAGAAAAGACAGAAATGGAGCCCTGCATATCTGAATCTGTTCCTTTTATTTGGAACAATTAATCTATACCCTTAAGGACGAACATCTCCTCACACCTTAAGGAGCATGATTAATTAAACCTGGTTTTTATGGAGGCATCCCTTTCTAATCATTGCCCCTCCCCAGTCCTTATTGCTGGGTCCTGGACTTCCCCGTTCTCTAGGGGGTCCCCTTACTAGGCATATTGAGACACACTACTGGGAACAAAGAGTGGGATCTTAACTTAAAACGGCCTCTTTTAAGACTTCAGATTACCCCTAGAAGGTGCTTTTTAAATAACTTCTAATAATAGTTGACCCTGTGCTACAGAAACTTTGTTATTAGTGAAACCTTTTAAAGAAAATTTAGGGGGCCTAGTTTTGGATGGAAAGCTGGCATCCCATTTCCTCCTCCAGAGAAAGGATACATGATGTGAGAGCCCACCCTCTTAATTTACACCCAAAATTAGTTTTTTAAATCAAAATTTGTATGTCAGGCAAGGAAAATGGATTACATCTCCAATGCAATATCTGGCTATTTTAGTAAGCATGGAAAAGATAGAATGAATTAGCCCATCAAGTGTTAATTTCAGGGAAGGAGCACGTATGATCATTAAAAAAAAATGCCTTATTGAATCCATAACAAAACCCAAGAAGGGGGCTGTCTTGTTGCATTTTAGCTAATACAATAGACCGGAATACTAAGGTCTCAATTTTAAACACATGGGCATTTGTAGGGAGTAAAGAAAAGCTTAGACAGAAAATTAAAATTCCTTCTGGTCCTTCCAGCCTGTGTGCACATGAGGCTGAGGGTGTGGATCCAAAACCCTGACAGTGACCATGTGGTGTCTTGGTCAGGAGAGTGAATGGGCCAAGCCCCATTCCACCTGCAGTGACCTGGACGACCTGTTTCCTCTCTTGGTCTTGACATGTGTGTGATGGGAAAAACTCCAACCCTCAGCCATGTGCCATCTATATTAGTTTCACACTCCTTAGAGCTCTTTTTACTTGCAGTGTTTCCTATCCCAGTCTACCTGGTTGGTGAGAATACCCAGTAGATGCTCAACCTTCCTAATTTTCTGGGGATGTCTGGCACACTACCCCACACACTTTGTCTGTCTCTGACCAATTCCCTCATGGAATGATACTCGGTGGTGCTACTTGGCAATAAGCAGGTCGGTGTAAGTCCCCAACTAGGCTCTTATGGACTGCCCTGTGTCTCAGACACATTTCACTCTCACACAACCTCCAAGATCCTTCCGGCTGCCAAGGAATACTTTGCCAGCTGATACTGTTTCTAACCTTCCTTGGTCTGTGCACAGAATTGCTTGGTCACCGCAATGCTTACTAAGGCCCTTTCTTCTTGCATTGCCACCGAGATAATTCAGGCCCAGAATGAATTTCCAGTCCAAGAGCACTGGTTGCCCAATACCCCAGGGGTCACTGCAATTAGGTGGATGAATGCGTTTCTCTCCAGGTAAGAGGCTTCCGAGAGCACCTCTCCCTGATGGAATTATCCCAGATGAGCCCCTAAATTGTTAGAAATAAGACCCCTGAAAACCACCAGGGTCACAATTGGAGACACAGAAACAAACAATTGTCTGCAAGGCAAATTTACTTCTGCAGAAAGGTATGTAGGCACAAGGCCACAGTAACCATGAGGAGCAGACCATAGGTCCTCATTTTTATTTCTGACACAGTGGGGCCCTGCACCCTTTACTTGGATTGGTCCAGTTTGGGTGCACAATCTGCTGGAGATTGGCTAATGATACACTTGGTGTTGTAGGTAGAAATTTCAGTGCCAAAACAGAGCTCAGTGAACAAGAACCTGAAACTGCAAGCAGTTAACACTTTGACAAAAAAGACTGTTTTCCTCACACTATCTTGAAAATACCTCATCACAAAAAAGAGCTGGTGGACTGGTTCAAGGTGTAAGCCTGAGTTCAAACCCCAGCACCGCAAAAAAAAAAAAAAAAATTGCCTCAGTGGTAGAGTGTTTACCTGGCATGCTTGAGGCCCTGGGTTCAAGCCCCAGTCTTTTGGCTAAGAGGGAAAATGCTTCTCAGTCTTTTGGCTAAGAAAGTGTAACGTATGTTCTTATCAATTCAATATCTAACACATCCTCTGAAAACAAAGTAAATGGTTTGGGGCAGGGAGGTGGAATAGGAGCTTGCTCCATCCACCCTATGCTTCAACCTGCTATTGTAGTACCTCCAGGAGTGCTGTACCCCTCCTACAAAAAATAAAGAAACTTAAATATTCCTAGAAATTGGACGTTCTCACTCACTCACTCCTTAGTTCCTGAATCCCCATGGGGGATACTACAGACAGTCAAGTTCTGCTCTGTGGTAGCTACTTTGGTAGCTTTGTAATTTTGTTTGGCTAACAAAGAACAGGTGTACAGACAAGATACAGTATAACTTTGATGTGCATGTTAGATTCTAGTGCATATACAACCAGGACAACTAACTGCCCATAGGATTGGCAGGCTACAATTTATTTTTTCCTTTTTTTTTAAGTTTTATTTTTTTATTCTATCATTATTACATTTACTCACATGTATACATATTGTTTGGGCCACCTCCCCCCGCCACAGTTTCTTTTATTGCTACTCCATTACTCATTTTCTCACTGGTAAGTAGGAACATGTTTGTTTTGAAAAAGAACATAGGATTGCCCAAGCTGGCCTCAAACTCAGGATTCTACTATCTCAGTCTCCTAAGTACTGGGATTACAGAGATTTACCACTATACCCAGCAGGAAAACAAAACATGTTTAAGATCCTGAGAGAAAAGTTGTACATCAAAGGCATTTCATCCATCAACTTGACTTTTTTTTTTTTTTAAGTGAGAGTGAGGACTTGTGGTGTGCAAGTGGGAGGCTCTGAGTTTCCAGTACTGGGTGGGGTGGGGAGAGGGCAAGAGGGCGAGAAAGAGGATGCTTTTATGCCATTTTAGCATTGGCTTCTCATGTGCTAAAGGCTGCTTTGAACATGGCTTGGTAAACATTTCTCTCAATGGCTATGGGCAGTGTGAGACTACTGAATGGAGAGAGTTTATCTCACCTCCCCCCCAAAAAAAGAGGGGTGGGAAGGTGGATGTGGAAGATCAACTTTACCTAAAAGAGACTCCATCTAACAGAAGTTGCCTGGTTGAGGTACAAGGATAGGGAATAGAAAATGCTATTTGTGTTTACATGAGAACTCTTGAAATTCTGCAGCCTAATTACAGTGATGAAATGTGTAAGGTAAGGACAAGATTCAGAAATGCCAGTGACCACACACAATTCCAACACAGGTCACCACTTCATGTAGAGAGCAAATCGAATTAGTTCAGCTACAGAAATGGAGCCATGTCTACAATCTGGGTAGTGACAAACTAGAATTTCTACAGTTAGTCTTTGAAAATTAGTTTTAAAGTCCAACTTTAAGAAAAGAGTTTTGCTGGGTGCCAGTGGCTCATGTCTGTAATCCTAGCTATTCAGGAGGCAGAGATCAGGAGGATCATGGTTTGAAGCCAGCCAGGGCAAATAGTTACCTAACACAAAAGGGCTGGTGGAGTGGCTCAAGGTGTAGGCCCTGAGTTCAAGCCCCAGGACCGCAAAAAAAAAAAAGAATGTCATTTGTATTTTTCTGGAAGACTCCAATATTGAAGTATGTTGCAAACTGGAACACCACCAAATGTGTCACAACCTGAAACAATCCTGTGGGACATCCGATGACAAGCTGACCTTCCTGAAGGACTCTTGAAAAGGAAAGGAAGATGTCAGTCTCAGGCTGTTGCAAGTATCATTTTTCACCTCAGTATTAATGGGAAGCTCTCTCAAACAATGCTCGTTGAGCACTGAATCCTGCAGCAGCATTGAGGGAGCTGTATACAGATGAAGTTGCAGCAGTTTTCCTGCCCCGCTCCCCGCAAAAAAAAGGTCTACTTCAGAAAACAAATAGGCAAGGCAAGAAAGTTAAGTCACAGCATATAATAGAGTGTGCATTGCTTCATACAACAGTAAGCACAGGTTTAGAGGAGGGAGAGAAAAATGGGTAAAGGGCTAGAGACAAGGTGAAAAGGAAAAAAATGGAAATAGGTTTTGTAGCAAATTTTTCAAGAATGTAGGAGTTAGAGAAGGCTCTATGTATGTATGTGAAAATACACCTTAAATTCAATTCCCAGCACTACAAAAAGAAAAAATAGAAAAATAAATGTGCCCTGAGTCTTTGCAGGCTACCATACGGAAACTCAATTTGGTCGCTTGATTGGCCCATACGCACTATGACAGCTGTCCTCGGCCCTGTCCAGGCCCACTGACTCGACCACTCCAAGACCGCAGCCACAAGTACTACCAGCGACCTCCCGCGGGGCAGGGTGGCGGTAGGTCCCGCCTCGCCGCTTGGCATGCTGGGGTTCGTAGTCTCTTCAGAGACCAATCCTTGCGTTCTCCGAACGTCGCCTTCTGCTCATTGCCTTCCTGCAGGCGGAGGGACTAGCTAGGAAGCCAATGAGGGAGCAGTAACGTGGCAGCCTCCCACGAGCCCCTGTCCCGGCCGGAGCGCAGGCCCCGCCCCCAACGGGATCTACCACCTGGCCGCAAGTTGGAGGGGGGAAAGCGGACACTGCCCCGTGCAAGGCGGTCACACGCAGTCCCAGCTCCCCCCCCTCACGTGGTGGCGGCGCCCGGCCTTAGCCGCGCATCCCCACCCTCTTCCAGTTCGGTCTGCTCGAGCAGTGCTCGCTCTTGCCGGTGGATGCTGCGCTTCTCTGGGCGAAACATGAAGGTGCTCCTCGCCGCCGCCCTCGTCGTGGGCTCCGTCTTCTTCCTGCTACTACCAGGACCCTCCGTGGCCGATGAGAAGAAAAAGGGACCCAAAGTTACCGTCAAGGTCTGGGCTCCTTCTCTCCCCCTCCCTGCCTGGCGAGGCCTGTCCTCCTCCACTGTCTGTGATGCAGCTTCGGCCCCCGCGGGCAGTGCCGTCCACGGCATTTAGAGATCCGGAGTTCCGGCTCTGGCTTCGAGTCGCCTAGGTCTTTCCTTCCCACTCTGAGAGTGCGGACCCTCTCCAGCACCCATAAGCCCCTTCCTGGCTGGGGTTGTCCAGTCGCGCGGCCAGCGCTGGCAGCCTTGGAGTGCTGGGGAAGTGGTGAAAGATCGCGTCTATCCAATCTTTTCTCCCGTTAAGCCGGATTTTAGCCACTTCCAATTACAAAGGACAGTAAATGGTAAGCTTGGGCTTAAGTGGGTTTTTAAATGTCATTTTCGATAATCTGAGCCCATTATTTATTTAGATCAAAGGTTACCTTGTAGTCTACAGACAGTGTAAACGAAACATTTTTTTTTCCAGGAAAGCATATGGAGCTTTCAGTAGATTCTCCCAGGGATTTTGCCTCCACCAAAGTCAGATTCAGAACCATTACTCTGTGCTCTGTTCTCTCTCCCATCCTCAGGGTAGGTTCTTGGGCCCTCCTTTCTGTACCAAGACACTTTTTTAAAAGGCTAAGTTTGAAATGGTCTTTTTCCTTAGGTGTACTTTGACCTACGCATTGGAGATGAAGATGTAGGCCGGGTGGTCTTCGGTCTCTTTGGGAAAACTGTTCCAAAAACAGTGGATAATTTTGTGGCCTTAGCTACAGGAGAGGTAAGCTTCTGGCCCAGACAGAGGTAGTCAACTCCAAGCATTAGGGGGCAGCAGACTGGACTGCTGAGTGCAGCCCATCTGTATGGGAGCCCTGGTTGAAGACCAACTGACTGTGGTGCTGGGGACTCAGTATTGTCATGTTTTAGGAACAAGGGGTCCAGAACTTAACTGAGAGACTTAACTCAGGACATGGCACAGAGCTTCAAGAAAACAAGTGTTCCCTTTGGTGAAGTTTGTATTTTAACTCCATTGGGCCATGAGGTGATTTTTTTTGTTCATCCATTTTCTTACGTCTTTCTTAGGATGAAAAGAGGGGTAAAAGCATTTCGTGGCCTAGAATTTTATAAAGTCTGGGAATTGTACAGGAAGGTAGGATCTTTCTGGGATCTGTGTGCTCTGTGCCTGGCCTGCAGTAACTAACTGATCATTCAGTGATGAATCTGGCCAGTGAAGAGGTATCTTTTGTGAGCAGTTGTGGGCTGGGTTCCTACAGAGCCTTTTGACATCTGCCTGCTGCCTCATGCCATCTTCTTGCTTTCTCTTTCCTTTTTGTAGAAAGGATTTGGCTATAAAAACAGCAAATTCCATCGTGTGATCAAGGACTTCATGATCCAGGGTGGAGACTTCACCAGGGGAGATGGCACAGGAGGTAATTTCAGATCCTCTGGGTAGCGGAGTCTTTCAATGGTAGCCTCCAAGTAGTACAGCTGAGCTGTGTTGGGTAGACAGGCCTCTCACATGCATTGAGACCAGGTGGACTCCTCTTTGCAAGGGAACCCAATATAAAAGAGAGGGAGGGATGTGGTTAGGTGGACCTCTAGATCAGGTATGCAAAGCCCACACACACCACTTTGGAAATTCTAGCAAAGGTGAGAAAATTGATTCCTCCACCAGAAAACACCCTGCAAGGGCCAAGCTGCACCTCTGCATTTCTTGTACACATACAGCAGAAACACATGCCCTGGACTAACACATGGGTTTGTTTCACTGTGCTGGGTGACCAGTCTGCTATTCCTTCAGTCTCCAAGAAGAGGGTGCTGAAGATGTAAAGATGTTTCACTTCCAGTACCTGATGATTCCCATAATACAGCTAATAGGATTTGTGTTTTGTCCTCAAGTTGTTTATCATCTAGGCAGGAAGAACTAGGAGAAAAAACCTGAGTTTCATAGCCACAGAGATTAAAGTAATGGCTAAAGGCAGTAGTGTACCAGGTTACAGTGGACAAAGCGGAGATAATTCAAAGAACTACTGAATCAGACCCAGTTGGATTTGATCCAGAGTCTGCCACCTTCTTACTTTGTGACCTCAAAGTGAGTCCTTAGAGCTTCGTTTCTTATCTGTAGAGGGAGATGGATAAGAATTATGGGCATTGTGAGGATTAGGTGAGGTCCTAAATGTTAAGTGCCTAGAAAGTATGTGTAATTGGTGGCAAACAGAGGAGTTACTTTGAGTGATGCAGAATGGCCCTGTTAATGTGAGGAAAGATTTGAGAGAGCCTCCTGGATGGGGAGAATGTGAACTGCCAAAGAGGAGGCAGGGTTAAGATGTGAGCCCAGCTCTGTTCTATGGCAGGAACTTGGCTAAAGGGGAGGGTTCTGGGAAAAATGGAAATACAGCACTCACCAGGGTAAAGAAGTGGGTTTACGTAAAGCAGATACCTTAAAAGCAACTGAGGCCAATAGGAGAAGGGGACCAGGAACTAGAGAAAAGGTTAGATCAAAAAGAATTAACCTAGAAGGTAACACACATGCACAGGAAATTAATGTGAGTCAACTCCCTGTATAGCTATCCTTATCTCAACTAGCAAAAACCCGTGTTCCTTCCTATTATTGCTTATACTCTCTCTTCAACAAAATTAGACATAAGGGCAAAATAGTTTCTGCTGGGTATTGAGGAGGTGGGGGGGAGAGGGAGGTAGCGGAGGGGTGGGGGCAGGGGGGAGAAATGACCCAAGCATTGTATGCACATATGAATAATAAAAAAATAAAAATTAAAAAAAAAGAAGTGGGTTTATGACAAGGAACCTGGTATTGTGCTCTAGGGAGTGGAGGTGTTGCCTCATGTATCCTGAGAACTGAAATGGAAGGACAACCCAATCAAAAAGAGTTTTAAGGGAAAATGATATGGTGGTAGAATTTAGGATGTGGAGCCAAGAGCAAGCTGACTGCTGAGAGATTGGTGCAGCTGTCACTCAGCAGGGTGACTTAGGTTTGAATCCCTAATGAGTGTAGGCTAGTGGATTAGAGCAGAGATTCAAAAGCCAGGCCATGTTGGTTTGAATTCCAGCCCTGCTGCTTGTTAGCTGGGTACCTTTAATACATTTAACTGCCCTGTCTCTCAGTGTTCTCATCTTTGTTGGTACTGCAGTTTGAACTTAAGACTGAAAGGCAGATTACCACTGGAGCCACTCTGCCAGCAATTTTTTCATCTTTGGAATGGGATTTTTAGCTACTGCTTCAGAGGGTAGATTGTCAGATATGTAAGAAGCTTAGAACAATCTGGCACACACTATTATGCTGTAGGCATGAGCTGTTAAAAAGTGAGAGTAGCAGGAATGGATGGAAAGGATGAATAAATGGGGAATAGAGACAACATCAAACAGTGTGCAGAGGAAAAGCTGCCAGAAGAACAACTGCAGTCTAGAAGGAAAGATGATGATATGCATTGGGCATAGAGTGAAAAATTTATACCTTTGAGTTGGGAACTCCTTGTGTGCTGGGAAAGGGTTGGAGCTAGGGATATAGATTTGGAGAATTTCAGGATGGAAGTCCTGTGGCTGACTGGGACTTAACACAGAAATCCTCAAAAGGGAGTTTTTAGCCAACACCCCAGCCAGAGGTCAACACAGGTTGGTGGTAGTCTAGTTCCTCCCCAGTCTCAGGGCGAGAGGTGGAACACAGACAAAACACCCTGCGCCACCAGCCAGCCTAACCATCTTGGCTGTCAATCTTCGCATCTGCTACACAGCAGCCCCTCACTGGTCAGCTTCAGTCAAACTCAGTTTCCTAGCCTGGATTTGTCCTGGGGAATTGCAGGATAAACATAGGTGTGTTGAGAAAAAGTAAATAATGCAAGTAAATTGAAAGAAAATGACTTATTATATTTAATGCTGGGATTCTTGAGGTCTTTAGGCCCCAAGAATGTAAATCTTTTAAGGGGTAATGGGAAAAGAAGGGTTCTAGTGCTTCTCCTGGAACTGTCTTTCGAACTAGAATCTTGGAAGCAGATTAGAGACTTGTACTCAGCTGCTTTGTTGTAGACCCCGGCCCCAAACCCCACATGGACAGACATGACATGCATTTGTAGGTGCTCTTTATTGTATGCTCATTCCTTAATAAGACACTCTCAGTTCTACAGAAGGAACCCAAATGGCACCTCCTCTCTTTTGCCTCCCCCTCCCCCACTCCCAGCTGTGTCCTATTTCTACTCAGCAGCTACACCTATCTTTTGTGCTTTTAGGAAGACAAGCTAGTTAGCTACAGTGGTCCTTCTTTTCTAGAGGGTTCCTCCTCCTGTCCCTCCCTCCCCAGCATCCTACACAGCACAAAAGCATCTTCCTACTAAAGTCCCTCCATGCAGACCTCAGGCAACAGCCAAAGGTTTCTGATAATATGTGCCATAAAACTATGCTCTCAAAAGTAATCCATCCTGTCAGAGCCCACTTAATCTCAGCCCAGATGATAAAAAGTCTTTCTCCTCTCAGGCCTAGCATGGCACAGAGGACAGGCTGAGCCCCTTGCATCCTCACCCCAAAGATCTGCCAGGTTTGGGCTAACCCAGCTTCCTGATCCACTCTGCCTCTCTTCCCAGGAAAGAGCATCTACGGTGAGCGTTTCCCTGATGAAAACTTCAAGCTGAAGCACTATGGGCCTGGCTGGGTGAGCATGGCCAATGCAGGAAAAGACACCAATGGATCCCAGTTCTTCATCACTACAGTCAAAACGGCCTGGCTAGATGGCAAGCACGTAGTGTTCGGCAAAGTTCTAGAGGGCATGGTGAGTTCCAGAAGTGGGACTAAACCTGGACAGGGATCCATAGACCCTGGGGCAGGGGGATCAAGAATAAACAGCCGTGGCCCATTGCTAGGTGTGCACCTGTGGTCCTAGCTACTCCTGAGGCAGGAGGATCCCTTGAGCTCAGGAGTTCAAATCCAGCCTGGGCAATATAGCAAGACACTATGTCAAAAAAAAGAATACACAGTACTCAGCTTTTATCACTCACTGGGATGGAGATGTGTAGCTCCTACCCCTGAGTTGCATGGGGTGTGGCTGAACATGATGTCCCTGAGAAGCTAGTTGGTACTTCACTCCCCAGTCACCCTCTTTGTCCTCATCTTTGGCCCAATCTGGGTCTTACTTCAAAGGAAAGAAACTCTTGCATACCTTTGTCAAGGCCTGGCACCTTGGAATTTTGGTGACTTAAAGTTTGTGTGCTGTTCAGAAGGGGCCTCAACCCTTCTGAGCCATACACTAGGGCCTGTCTCCCAGTGTGGACCTCCTGACCCACCCTGCCCTCATGCTCCCACCTTTCCTTCCCAGGAGGTGGTGCGGAAGGTGGAGAGCACCAAGACAGACAGTCGAGACAAGCCTCTGAAGGATGTGATCATCGCAGACTGTGGCAAAATTGAGGTGGAGAAGCCCTTTGCCATCGCCAAGGAGTAAGGCCCAGGAACCTCTTACCTCTGAGCAGCTGTCTGTGCTGGTCCTGTTGCCTTCACAGGATGAAGGGTACCATCACAGGGCTCCGTGCTACATTGGCCCTAGTGCTGGCGTCTGACAGAGCAGACTTACTCCCCTCACATTTCACAGGGCCCAGTTTTGTAACAAACTCTTATCAGTGATGACCAATAAAAAAAGAAAAAATTTTTTTATAAACTGTGTATGGGGGGTTCTTGGGTACATGGCACCAGCTCTAAGTTTGTATCCTAATATGTCTGGGACTTTCCTGTGGTGGTAGATGCCTGCCCCTTCCTGGGCTCCTGCCTGAACCTGTACCCAGGTTCCACAAAAGGCCAGACAGAAGCTTCCTTTTTGTTTTGAACTTTGCCAGCTTCTGTCTCAACCCTTGCCCCCAACCACCTTCTGGTCTAGGTTAGGAAGTACACAGGACTTCCTCATAGCCTACCTCTAAATTGACTTACTCCTGATCTCCTTGGCTTTGTGCTAAAAACCTGAGTTCTACCAGCACCAGCCCTGAGTGGGGATGGACAGAGCTGAGCCTTGGGTAGTTAAATCCTGGGTCCAGGCCAATGGAAGATCAAACCCTAGTTCTTTATATAGAGCTCATAGGACTGAGGCACATAACTGTCCTGTCAGGTTGCCCAAACCCTGTACTGATCAGGACATTGTTGTCAGAGGGTAACAGTCAGCCTTTGGCTGGGCTGATGCTGAGCTGGTACTGAAGCCATAGAAGCCCTGGAGCACACCATTCACCACCACTTCAGGCAGAGGTTCTGTGGGATAGAAGTAAAGAGGGAGGGGGAGAAGGGGAGCTGGCATGGGATAGTCCTGGACTCAGGTCTGGGGTTCTCTCAGTGCCCTCAGGAGTAGGAACCCTTGCCAAGGGGGAAGATAACAGCTGTCTACCCAAATGAGGCATTGGCATTCCCAGGCCACATTTCTGTTCACATCAGCTTGGTAGATGCAGGCTGCTGGGGAATGGAGATCAGGCGGGAGCCAAGCTTAATGCCACTCACTACAAAGCAGTAATAGCAGGTAGTGACCACAGAGGAGGGCAGTAGGAGGGAGATGCTACCTGGTGCTGAGAAATGGTAAGGGACTCCCTGTGCCACCCTGGTACCTAGCCCCTAAATAAGGAATGCAGATCAGAGGCACCTCCTCACCTGGGGAAGGAATGTAAATGTAGGGATCCATACAGAAGCTGATGACAGGCTGGTGTTGCAGTTGCGAGCTGAGAGGAAAGAGGGTCATGAACCATGAGAGAGGGAAAGAGACTAAGAACTGAGATCACTGTCTCACAAAAGAAAAGGAGGGGGAAGTGGACTGGGGAGGCCCCATTGAGACAGTCCAGATCCTGCAGGCTTATCTTTTAGCATATGGCCACTAGAGAGCAGCAGGAGCCATGGGCAGGGCAGGGCGGGCTTTGACTTGCCTGCTGTTGCTAGGCAGTAATTTCCCCAGGGTGCTGAAAAGAAGAGAGACATTGTAAGCTGCCTGAGGATGCCCAAGAGAGGTTAGGAGGGGGTGGAGACAAAAACCCAAGGGACCCACTGCTTCTATTTGTAACAAGCCCAGTTATGGAGGTGGAGGCAGCTGAGGTGATCAAGGCTGTCCAAAAAACAGCACCTCTACCTACCAGGGTCAAGAAAGCTGGTCAGGAAGGTCATATCTCAGAAGCAAGAACCAGGCCAGGGCCTCACAGATGTAAGAAGGAGCAGGGCTTGCCCTCCAAAACCTTTCCTCACCTTGCTGCTGAGTCCTTGCCACCACTACCCCCCAACATGTCTTCTTACCCCCAGCTGCCAGCCTTGGGGTCTGGAGGAAAGTGGCGAAGTTTCAGGAATTCCAGTAACTCCTTGGGCACATCCTGGTTCAGGTATAGGATGCCCTAAAGGGGAGGACAGAGGAAACCTATAATCAGACCCCACTAATTGCACAGCCCTGTGCAAATGAAAACGGGAGGTCCTTTGTTCCAAAATAATTACGAATTTCAAGGCAGTGGGAGCATAGCATTAAATCAAGTTCACCGTCTTTTTCAATACTGGTCCCTGTGGCCCATTAAGTAGCCAAGGCCTAATCTCACATCACTGTTGGGGGAAGAACCCACCCTACATTCTAGCATGAGGGAGACACAGGAGTTACCCTGGAGGGGAAGGCAACTAGGTCTCATTGAGCTGGGACCACCTGCTCCTGGTTGCCTCATTCAACTCTATCAGCAGTCCAGAGAGGGATGTCTGGATTCACTACTGTTCAGAAAATTGAATAACATCCCTAAGTTGCAGGGGCCCTCTCATATCCCTCTATCCCCACCTCTGTCTGGGTCCTGGGGACAACTGAGTTTACCCCATTACACACACACACACACACACACACACACACACACACACACACACAACTGAGTTTACCCCATTACACACACACACACACACACACACACACACACACACACACAACTGAGTTTACCCCATTACACACACACACACACACACACACACACACACACACACACACACACACACACACACACACACACACACACACCTGGATATAGGCCTCCAAACCCTGCCGGCGCTGTTCCAATCCTCTGGTCCTCAAGTTAGGTAGGCGTTTGGAGGGGAAGTCGGGCACTTTGTACAGTTTCTTGATCTGCCGGGGAGGTTACAGGTTACAGAGACGCGATCGTAGTATCCCAAAAGAGCTCCTCCCCGCACCCCGCTTCAGGCTCTACCCTAGAACAGCCCCTGGTGAGTGGTGGTTGGGACTGGGCTGAGAGAATGGAGCGACCGCGCAAGGACAAGGTCAGTGCGAGTTGGGGTCTGCATGACCCCTTTGCTCAGGATCTGAACCCTTCCGGGGCTGGGCCGGGGTCAGCCGGTCGTCCGCGCCGCCTCACCCGCTTGTGCAGCGCGTGGAACTCGCTGTAGCGCCTTGGCACGGTGTGTCTGCGTCCGCTGCACAGCACCTCCACCCGGAACACCTGGCGGGTCGGGGTGAGCGCGAGACCGGTTGACAAGACGCTCCCACTCTCCGGCGCGCAAAAGCACAGAAGCCGCTCTCCCGCGACCCTCCCGCATTCTCCCAACTGAGAGAAAAGGCTGGCAGACCCGCCCCTCCGCTTCATGCGGTCCCTCATGAGCCAAGACCGCGGTCTGGGGAACTGGCAAATGCAAGCAGCCCCGAAACCCTCATACGGGGTTGTCCTCCAACAGCCCAGCTCCGAGCGCCCAGTCAGCGCGGTAAATTCGTCGGGTCCCTGCGCCTCTCCCCATCCCGTGTCCCTGCTCACCATGTGGCTTTTCTCTGGGTTCTGCCTGGGCCCCTCGGCCTGGGGCCCCACCGATGGGATGTGGACTTCCAGCATCCGCGTCACGGTCCCTACTCGTGCGCGCAGCTCGCAGCCCGCAGCCCCAACTCCCGGGAGAGCAAAGTCTACCCCGCGCGGCCGCCCCTCCCCTTGGGCCTCAGGCCCCGCCCCGGCCCCGGCCCCGCCCCAAGCCCGCCCCGCCCCGCCCCGTCGGGGACGTTCCCTGCGCTGCTCCCTCCTGAGGCGCGAAGATTAGGCTGGGTGCTGGGGACTCAACTCCGACACCGCCCCAGGGGCGGACGCGGCTGCCGCGCGGGGGAGGAACACTCGCAAAGTCATGCGTTTGTCAAACATTTACTGAGCGACCTTGACTGCCAAGTACGCGGGCGAGCCAAAATTTCACCTGTTCTTTGTTGAGTGTCTGCTGAGGACTGCAGCCTGGGGCGCCAGGCCTGGGGGAGGCAGTTGGGCCGCTAAGACTGCAACCGAGGATGTTCCTTGCTGTCTTCAGATCCCTGCCCCCTCCATTCTTTCAGCCTGGCCCCTCGGAGCCCGGCCTGGAGACTCCAGCTGAGGGCCACTCCTTGGATCCACTCGCCCTTTCCCGTCCCCTGCCCGGGCGCCCTCAGTCCCTTCATTCATTCATTTCTTCCATCCACACATCGTGTCTTTCAACCCTGACCTGCTCCAGCGCAGCTTGTGCGGAAGAGGCAGCAAAGAGAGCCAGGCCCGGCTCTTGAGAGTCAGACGGCCTGTATTTTGGAACTGTGCGGACGTGTGCACATCTGCGAAATAAGAGATACTAAGCCTCCTTCACAACAGCGTGAAAACTGAATGAAGCTGGGGGTCCCAGCTACTCCGGAGGCTGATGCGGGAGGATCGCTGAGCCTGGGCAACTCTTGGAGGCTGTCTCAAAACAGAGAGAGGAAGAGATGATCTACATTAAACCCTTAGAGTAGGGATGGGCGGGTGGTGATGGTGGATAGGACAGATACACAGTGGAGAAGAAAAGGGACTGTGGGGGAGGTGATGCCAGGCTGCTCTGTCCTGGGAATGGGGCAAGACTTTAATCCTGAACTCTCACCTGTGTGGTGGTAAGAGCACCCATCTCACTCCACACCCTCATCTATGGGGCAGCTGCTACCATTCCACAACACGTGGCAAGGATTCGCTATTCCCCTGACTCCCACAAAGGGAGTGGAAGACCTTGGGGTGGGGACCAGGAAGTAGACTGCCTATCAGAAGGGCAGATAGGGGGACTCACCCTGGTCTCCTGGTGCATCCCATCTCCATTCCTAGCCTCGCCCCAGGGAGGGATTCAGAGAATGCCCCCCAAAGGCATCTGTGTCCTATACTTTCTTCCTCCAAATTCCAACACAGAAGGGGCCCAGAATCAGGAAACTGAAACTTCACAGATCCTGGTGTGTCCCCAGAAAGGAAATGACCCACAGTGAGAAGAAGTGGTGTGGTTTCATTTCCTCCCTGACATCCTAGGGCCTCATCGTTCAGGGACACAGCTCTAGATCTCCATGGCCTCCCCAATGCCTACTGTTCAGAGCCCCCATCCTAATGACTACCCCTCTGTCTTTTGGTTTCCCTGCTTCACCTTGCTCTCCCCAATATAAGGTCCATTCTCTACCCTTTGACACAAACTGTTAGCAGAACTCCAGCTTTCCCATAGAACTGCACTTAGAAATAAAACTCACTCTTCTCCCTACAAATGATTGCAGCCCACACTCCATCTTTCACCTCATTTCTTCTCTTCTCTGATCCTGGTCATATACCAGGCTCCTGCCACAGTGACCTCCTTCCAGTTCTTCAACCCTAACAGGTTATTTCTTGCGTCATGGCCTTTGCCCTATTTCCTCTCCCTGGAACACTT